AGCATTAATCTGGATATATATGTAAAGACAGTTCTTTTTTATGAAATAAAATGTTAGTTTTATCAAAAAAAAAAAATAATAATAATAATAATAATCACAGGTTTAATAATGTGTGTTTCAGAACATCACAGATTTTATACGTGCTCTACAAATTATCGGTTCATACACTGGCAAACTGATCGACTGGCTGATCAATACATATTCTTGTTTTCCCCAGAAATAGAATAGAGAAAGTGAGCTAACTTTTTTTCACGTATCGAATAGAAAATAGAAAAAGAATTGAGTATCGGATTACTATATCAATTGGTCAATTAATCACCACACCCTTTCGCTTAACCAAAAATATCCATACTTCAATAGAATGTCTTTTTAAGACAGAAATGAACTAATGAAAATAGCATAAGAATTTTAATACATCGATTTGTCACTTGAACAATACAATACTGATCGTTTTTGTATAGTAGTAAAATAATAAACTTTTATTTTTAATTGATATATTAAATGCAACTTAAGAACTACTATTTGCAAATTTGGACTACTTCCACTTTTCTACGGACCAAGCCATGCAAATAGTAGTTCTTAAGTTGATATATATATATACCTACCATTTTGGGGGCTACATTAGTTAATTCAGCAAGCGAGTTATTACACACACTCGCGAGAGTTGGTATACGCTCTTTGGCGGATTTCTTTATTTGCCATACAGTAATGTGAAAATACAAAGAAAATATTGACTAAAATGAAAATATTATTCAAGTTTTTGACACACACACAATACCCCCACAAAAAAAAAAAAAGGAAAAGAAATTTTTTTTTACTAGAGTTACATGCCTAAGTTATCTACTTACGAGTACCCTCAGGACGAACAATACCACTGGCAACCTTAGTAGCATCCCTAGCAGCATCTTCTGGTTTCTTCTTCATGTACATCATGTAGTACCAAATTCCGCCAACGACGACGGCGCCGCCGACCGCTATAGTACCTGGACTATAAGGTAAACTTCGCAACCGATTCATAACGCCACCAGCCATTTCTTCTATTGAGAATGAGTTTTTTTTTATTTGAATCCCTTTAGAGATAAACCCTAATAAGTTTTTTTGCTTAGTGATCAAGTGATGTTTGAGTAGGTGTAAAGACGTGGAGCTGAGGATAAAGCTGTGGGGAGTAGACACGTTCTCTCTTTTGTGTCACGTTACGAGAAGTTGCATGTATATTCAAGTATGAAGTATGGACGTAGCGGCGGTAAAGGATAAGTGATGGTACGTGGTGACTCACCAGGCAACACGCTTAAAGGTTAAGAAACCTTAGCTTATATTTTCGTTTGGTGATTAACTTACATAGTAGTGTACACATTTTTCTAAAAAAATTAAATAGTTAAGTTCATCCAAGATAATACGTTTTGTAGTAGTACTTGGATAGTTTAAAAGGAAATTTTACCTCTTACGGGCAAATATAATACTTACAATTTCAAAATATTATTATTTATAGTTACTTTTTTTTATAATAAAATAAATATTTATTTTATATCCTACCATTAAGACATAAAATACGATAATTATATTCTCTCTCTTCCTTCTCTCTATAAGTAAGATTCTCAATCCTCTCTGTTCTCTCTCAAAACATAACACGGCCTTTTTGATATCTAGGATCCGATTTGTTGTTAAACTTTCCCAATTTCTAAACTAGAAGAAAAAGTAATATTAGCGCTGCTACTTTCGTGTTTACGTTCTCGGATCAACTTCTCCATCATCACGCGCGCATTCAGGTAGCTCGTTGATTATATTGCTAGCGAACAGATCTGGCCATGGCTACGCCGGAGAAGATTTGAGGGGCGAATTTTTGTTCGTCTCCATTTTTAGTTTCATTGGATTCTTGTACAAATACATTCCAATACATTTTATTTTTGTATAAATACGTTAGTTTTTTTGTATGTATTTATGTATTCCGAAGGTCTGTATTTTTTTAATACAACCGTATATTACTGTGTTTTTGTGATTTTTTTCGTTGTTTGAATACAGTCGAATTGAATACGGTGAGTTGAATACAATGTATTATTGGGTTTTTAAGGTATTTAATTAATATATTAAATACTTAAAAGAGGGTGAATGGGAAATGGAGGGAAATGAAATTTTTGAGTGAAATTTTAAGTTCCCCCTCCCTTGGCAAATGGGCATTGTCCCATATTGGAAGAGGAAGAGGTTTTTTATGGGTACATAAGCAATTGCTCTTCTTCTAGCTCTTAAAGAGTTGAGAAGAAGGCAAGCCTCGCGCCGTCGTCGTCGTCGCTCGCTCGGCTTCGGCTTCGGCTTCGGCTTCGGCTTTGGTCAAATGATTGATTGATTAACTTTTTGGACCAAATTTATTTGTTAATAGTAAAATATTAACAGAAATGTTATTAAATATTTGTTATTAATATTAAATCCAATCCGTTTTTCTGTTTTGGTAACAGAAAAGTAACTACCCTCTTCAATTTTCCCTCTTTATTTTCCCTCTTTATTATTGAGTAAATGGCCATTTATGTAATGGTATTTATGTTGTGGGCGTTTTGCATAAACAACCATTCTGAAGAGACCCAACTTTGGCTATAAATACAACACTATTCTGCTCAGAATTTTAACTACAATTTTCTGAGTTTCCTCTCCTTCTTCTGCATACTTTTAGCATCAAAACAAAGCAAAAAAAAAAGTAAGTGTGATTTGCTACCGAACTTTGTGTTCGCTGAAACACTGGGGTTTGAAGTACCACTACACCAGTGTGTAATTCGTTCTATCATGGGAGGAAATAATCCATAACCTTGGGTACTAGGAGGGGATTAAATTCCTTAAGAAAATACTGTGAATTCAGTGGGCTCGAATTGGTTTATGTCATTTCTGTTTATATTCATTACTGTTTATATTCATTTATATTTCCAAAATTTATTTTACAAATACAGTGTAATAACATGTATAATAGTGAATAACAAATATATTTGAATTGAATACAATATATACAGTAGAAGTGAATAGAACAGTATACAACCCTATTTTTTTTTTTTTTTGAGTACAACTGAATTTTTATATAGTGAAATTAAATCCAATTCAATATTGTTCTTTCCGTTATTAAATACCCAATATTTTTTAGGCGGATTACCTCTCTGTATTTATAAATATAATCGTACGAATACATGGAATACAAAATTAAACAGCCGTAATCCCTATTTTTTAGGCGGATTGCCTCAATGTATTTATAAATATAGCTGTACGAATACTTGAAATACAGAACTAAAGAGCTGTAATTCATATTTTTAAGCGGATTACCTCACTATATTTATAAATACAATTGCGGGAATACATGGAATATATCACAGTAGCAACAAAATTATGGAATCGATTTTGTTGAGTTAAATTAGGAGTAATACACGCTAATTGATACTCTTTCCGTTATTACACAGGTGGATTCCCCTACGAATACAGCAAGTCGCGTAACAACTAAGTAATAGCTATAGAAAGTAATTATATATAATTATATATAGTAGACATAGGAAGTTAATAGCCACTAAATAATAGTGATTTCTGGTAATTTACAAAAATAGCTTGTTTTAATCAATCAAAATATATTACTTTCTTTGTCTTAATTTATCTGATATTTTTTGTTTTTCGAGATTCAAACTTCTTAAATTTAATTTTATGTCTGGAAATTTTGATTTTTTGAAATAAAATTTATATTAGAAACTACGTAAAAAATACTATAAGTTATAACAATTATTATTATAAAATATAAGACATATGAATAAATACAGTCAAAACTATTATTCATACGACTCCTGAAATTTTAATACCTTCAAATAAATTGAGATGGAGAGAGTAATAATTATAAAATATTACGTTATTCGTGTAAATAAGGTGTGTATAATTAGTTAAATCCTTTGTATTTGTCTTTTGGATCTTCTGATTTACAACAAGAAGTGTTCAGCTAGTGGTTATGGTTACCAGGATAAAATAGAGTTATCGAAACGAAGAATTTCAGATTTAATTACCACCGAAGAGAATAGGCTTCCAACTTTTAGTTCTGCATTTTCCTATAGCTTTGTGCAAGAGGACGTCAATTATCGCCAGCTAACATTTTATAACCATTGTAAATGACATCCCGCTATATGACAATATCTTTAAAAAAAGGAAACTAGTAATTTTAGTCCTTGAGTTATAGCCTTATTCCAATTTGATCCCAATATACTTGATTGAGCGAATTTAACCTTCAATGAATATTATTGTGCAATTTTGATCCCTCAAACTAACAGAGTTAAAAACTTCACGGAACATCACTAGATCTATCTTAAGAACATAGATTGAAGGTAAAATTGCTGAATTGTTGGAAGAGGATAGAATCACCTAAATGGACTTAGATGAAACTATATTTGGACTCCTTAGTTTGACTTTTGTTTTGAAGTTTGATTATGAGAGCTTGGATTTTGACTTTTGAGTTGACTAATTAATTTGGCATAGTCTTAAATTGTGGGGTTAATTCCTATGACTTTGTTTAGCCTTGTTGATTATACTTTTTGGCTAAATCGAAATCAATTTATGGATTTGGAGCAAAGAAAGACGATTCTTGAAGGCTAAGGATATAGTCATATATAGCTTTGAAAAAATGACACTGTACAACCGCTGTAAAAATAATAGCCGAAAAAATGTATAAATATTATATACAAAAATTATTCAAGTTTTATGCACTTTTTCGGCTATCCTATGTAAATAGTTTCTGACGTGGACTAAAAGTGATAATACCCCAGCTTTTCTTGACCATCCGTCCACGAGAGCCTCCAGACCATATACCAGAATGGATTAAGCCCAAGTAAATTGGATAAAAGCCCAAATATTTTTTGACCGTTTCAATCCTTTATCTTGTACTCCTACTGTTTATCTAACGGCTAGTTTTCTTGCTTCTTTAGCTGCATTACACTTAACGGCTAGTTTTTCTCCTCCCCTATATAAAGTATATACACAGGAAGGAAAAAGCTACCATAAAAATCTCTCTTGCTCCCTTAACTTCTCTTTATAAAACTAGTGTAGCTGTTGAAGAAAAGCTTTTTCCTTTTATTTTTTTGAGGTTCATATCAAATGGCTGATTTTTCAAGAACTGTACTTTCTTCTTCGCTAGTAGCTGTTCTCTTCTTCCTCCTCTTGAGCTTAACAGAAGCCAGAGATCATTTGGTTGGGGGAAAAACTGATTCTTGGAAAATCCCATCTTCAGAATCAGATTCCCTCAATCGTTGGGCTGAAAAATCTCGCTTCCTCGTTGGAGATTCTCTTGGTATGTTATAAATCAGAAACTTTATCTCCAATTTTATTATTACTAGCTCAGACATACGTGTGTAAAAGAGTTTTTATACTACAAGTCACCTAAAAATAACTATATATCATTATTGCTCGCAGTAAGTGAAACTAATTACCTCAAAAAACTACAATAAGCAACGTGTTATATGTTATAAAAAAAAATTTTTTACATATTTATCAGTGGGCAAAGTTACACCAACGTCGGAAAATTACACTACATATATAGGTAAAAGATTTTCGAGGTATATAATATATTTGAATACCGTTTGTCCGGATTTATCTTTTACTTCTTTCAAGTTTGAACACCTTGGGGTTACCTGGCTCCGCCACTGTTATTAGTGTATACAACATAAACATATATATCTTGCAGGTACTTGCTAGTACAATTTTTAGTGCAACCATAAGATATTCTGATGTGTCGATAGCCAATTTTATTATATATATATTTTTTCTTTTGGCAGTATGGAAGTATGACGGAAAAACAGACTCAGTTTTAGAAGTGAGCAGGAGGGACTATGTAACATGCAACATTTCAAGTCCAATAGCAGTACACAATGATGGGAATACAAAGATAGAGCTAACACATTCAGGAGCTTACTATTTTATTAGTGGAGCAAAAGGGCATTGTGAGCAAGGCCAAAAATTGATAGTAGTGACTTTATCTGAGAAGAATATGAGGAGATTCATGGGTGCACCTGCACCTTCTCCAACAGAGTTTGATGGTCCAGCTATGGCTCCTACTAGCAATTCTGCTACTTTAAATGCTGGTTTAGTTATGGGTTTTGGGATTTTAATGGGGTTTTTGTTTTGAAGTGAGGGTGGTTGGATTTATTTTAATTTTTTTATTTTTTAGATGAGAGGTGGTGGCTTTCTTTGGTCATTCTCCTTAATTATTCTTTGATTCAATTTGTTTTTTTAGCTTTGGGAAGCCTTAGCTTTGTTTGGAAGCAAAATGAAAAGCTTTATGTGTCAATACTCTCATTTCCTTTCCTGTGAGATCTATTCAATATATAAAAGTAGTAGTAATAATTGTGGTACAATGGTATTTACTCCAGAATAGTGAATCATTCCAAACAAATTAAGTCAAATAATCAACTCTTCTAGTCCGATTTATTTATTTATGTAGTATATTATCGACACTTTAATGGATATATAAAATCTAATAGTTTAGCTTCTTCATTAATTTTCATAGAAGAAGTTGTTATGAATTTGACTCTGGTGATATGGACACTGAATGAATCACAATTTTTACTGCTAAATTTGATTCTGGTGAAAAAAAAGTTGGAGAATCTTTACATAAAGTCTACTTGAATCTAGAGATGATGTCTATTCAGATTTCTGGGATGTATATTCAAAAAAAATAAAATGTTTGTCCTTGTTTTTTTATTTTATAATTAACCGTTTTTGACATTATTTTCAAGTACTTTTTGGGTGTTGTAGAAATTGTAAAATGGTTTAAATGGTGAAATTGATGAGTAGCATGTGTTTGGAATCAATTTTTGACATGGGAGGTGGTTGTTGGATGAAGAAATATCATTGAAGGAAGTTGAAGAGAAACTGTTTGATGAAATGCCTTAATGAAAGAAAACATGAAATTGTGTTGTGTTCTGTTCACCAAAAGAGGTGGTGCAGCGGATGGTTGCTCCTTAACCAGAGGTCTCGGGTTCGAACCCTGGGTATAGGAAAATATTTGGTAGGGAGCGCTTCCCCCGAATGGGGCCTTACGTGGCGTGAATTCACATATAATCGAGCTCCAATGCGAGTACCAGACACCGGATGGAAAACCAAAATAAAAAAAAATTGAATTGTGTATCAGTAAATTGAAGTTGTAAGAGTAGTGATAAGATCTCTAAGGCGCTTAAATTTAAGGTATGTTTGACTAAAATCCTTCCCATAAATCTTTTAGCTATAGAAATTCCATGCCTTCCAGACATGTTCACAAAGAACTTACTGTATTGGGGAAAATTGTATTCATATACATGTTGACGTGGCATGACACGTGGAATGGTCAATAAATTATGAACAGTCATAGTCCAAAGGTTGTGAACAGCTACGGGAAAAAAAAAAAGAGGCATGAGATGAGAGATTCAACGCCCCGTTCCTGTTTAACTTCAACCAACCTATTCAAGCTTATTTGTATATGGGCAAAGAGAAGAATGAACCTGGTCAAAGAAAAAGGGGAAATACTGCATTAACTATTAAAGCCGTTAAGGAATATGTACAATGATTATGTAACGCAGCATTTAATATCATTAAATGCCCGTAATAGCCTCATTATGACTTAGGCGTAACGTATGTTTCTAGAAGTTCTCAAAGGAACCTATAAAAGGAAGAATATGTAATCCTATTTTGGAGGAGGTGACTATTGGAATATACTTTGATTTACCAGCTTTCGTACTAGGTTACTCTAAAATTTCTTTCTTTATTTACTTTTTCGATTATCAGTAACCCGATTCTTCTAAATTCTAGTTTTGACTAAAATCCTATTTTTTGGTTAAACAAATTGGTTCCGTTACCGGGAATCTGATAATCAAGTATATCTCAACCTAATTTTCTTGATTGCATCAATCATGTCGAACAACAATGACAACACTCAAGGAAATCCAGAAATTCAAACAATCCAACAACTTCAGGGAGATTCCCCACGAGGCTCTCCACAAGGTTCTCCACGAGGCTCCCCACGACGGTCTCGTGAAGGCACTCCTGATGGATCTCACACAGATGGACAGGCTCAATTCGAAAATGTTGAAACCATGAATGAGGCCCTGCAAAAACTTATTGCCTCTCAAGTCAATAACGCTCTTCAAGCTTTTGTTAGCCAATTACCTGCTATTCCACCCACATCTACTCCAAACAACTACACTTTGGAGAATCCTCGTTCAGGATTGGTTAATTCAGGCAGCGGTGGAACCCCTAGTGAAACACAAGAGAGAGACCCAGGTAATCCAGTTAACTCTGATTTACAAAATCTAGTACTAACCTTGCAGAAACAGCTTAAGGAGCAAAATGAACGCATAGAGCAAATACCTGGAGTACCGCCCGTGATCAAGGGAGTAGATATAGATAAATATTCCCAACAACCATGGAAGCCAAGTGCTGCTCCCCTCCCAATTCCAAAGAAGTTTAAGATGTCTGATATTCCAAAGTATGATGGTACATCAGATCCACGAGATCACATTACTGCATTCACAACAGGTGTCAAGGGCAATGATTTGACTAAGCAAGAGATTGAGTCGGTCTTGGTCAAAAAATTCGGTGAAACACTCACTAAAGGGGCCTTAACATGGTATTCTCTTTTACCTGAAAATTCTATAAATTTATTTGCTGAGCTTGCAGATTTATTTATCAAAGCATACTCGGGAGCTCAAAAAGTTGAAAAGTGAATGGAAGATATCTTCAAAATCAAGCAAGGAGACTCAGAGTTGCTTAGAGAATTCGTAAATAGATTTCAACGGGAAAGAATGACGCTGTCACGAGTACCTGACAATTGGGCAGCCATAGCCTTTGCTAGTAATTTGAATGAAAAGAGTTCAGAAGCCACGAGGCGACTCAAAGAAAGCCTTCGAGAATTCCCAGCAACAACGTGGAATGATGTCTACAACAGATACAGTACAAAGATGAGGATTGAAGAAGACATTATTTTACGACATAAAACAGAAGAAAAGGTAAGCTCAAGGCGTGTGGAAAATGAAAAGAGATCCGGTAAAAACAGGTACGAGCCATACATGGGACCTGCGGGGAAAGACTCACGATCAAGGCAAGATAATCAAAGGTACGATCACAAACCTAGAAACAAGGAGTCAGGCTCCTCATCGAGGTTCGGAAATGACCGAAACACACGTGGGTCACGAGACGATGACGAAAGTCTAAAGGCAAGGTTCGGTGGTTACAACTTCAACGTAAGCACCTCTGAACTCATAGCTGTTTTAAGAAGCATGGGAGATAAGGTACGATGGCCAAAGGAAATGCGATCAAATCCGAACAGACGAAACCCTGATCATTGGTGCGAATTTCATAACGATCATGGGCATAAAACAGCAGATTGCAGGTTTCTACAAGGTGAAGTTGATCATTTGTTAAAACAAGGGTATCTTACTGAGTTGTTCAGTGAGAAAGGTAAACAAGCATACATGAAGAACAAACAGGAGCCTCCAAAACCACCTTCGCCCAAGAGAACTGTCAACGTTATAAGTGGAGGTGAAGAGATCAATGATGTATCATATAAAAAGGTTTCAAAAGTGACAATTACCCACAGGAAGCGACCTCGACATGTACTGGAAGAAGAGAATGTTATATTCAACAACGCAGACGCCGAGGGACTCATAACTCCGCATAACGACGCACTGGTAATATCTTTACTTGTACATGATACTAACGTGAAACGAGTTTTGGTTGATCCAGGTAGTTCTGTAAACATTGTTTTAATACGGGTATTGCGCGAGATGCAAGCGGAGGATAAATTAATTCCAAAGGCGCATACTTTGTCGGGATTTGATAACTCTAGTGTTGTAACAAAAGGGGAGGCGATACTTACTACATTCGCAGAAGGCGTCGTTAAAGATACCAAATTTCAAGTGGTGGATATGGAAATGGCTTACAATATGATTCTTGGGTGGCCAAAGATTCATGACATGGAAGCTGTTCCTTCAACTTTACATCAAGTTATTAAATTCCAATCTCCATGGGGAATATGCCAAATCAGAGGCGATCAACAAACATCTAGAAGCATCAATTCCGTTGTAGATTCAACTGTTAAAGGTGAAGACAAATAGCAATTACAGAATTTAGGTGAGGGTAACACGGAATCAACCTCATCTGAGCAAAAGCAAACAGATCTGGATTCAAGACCTGATACCATTCAAGAAGCGGAGGAGAATGAGAACATCAAAACAACGATAGAAGAGCTAGAGGCCGTGGTGTTATTTGTACATTGGCCCGAGAGAAAAGTGTACATAGGGGCTAATCTTAGCCCGGAGGTAAAACGTAAATTGATTGAATTTTTAAAAGCTAATGCGGACTGTTTTGCTTGGTCCCATTCTGACATGACAGGGATACCACCAGAAGTCATGACTCATAAGTTGAATGAAGATCCATCATATCCTCCCGTCAAGCAAAAGAAAAGAAAGCAAGGAACTTTCAAAAATAAGGTGATTCAAGAGGAAGTTCAAAAATTGCTAAAAATTGGTTCAATTCGTGAGGTAAAATATCCTAACTGGTTAGCTAATACTGTTGTGGTTCCTAAGAAGAACGGTAAGTGGCGAGTCTGTGTAGATTACACAGACCTTAATAAAGCCTGTCCAAAAGATTCCTTTCCTTTACCGCACATAGATCAGTTAATTGATGCTACTGCAGGGCATGAGCTATTAAGTTTTTTAGATGCATATTCGGGCTATAATCAAATCAAGATGGATCCAGGAGATGAAGAAAAAATAACTTTTATAACAGACAGGGGGACTTACTGTTACAAGGTAATGCCCTTCGGTCTTAAGAATGCAGGTGCAACGTATCAAAAGTTGGTCACCCAAATGTTTCAAGAGCATTTAGGTAAAACCATGGAAGTATATATAGATGATATGCTAGTTAAGACTCAACATTCAGAAGATCATATATCGCACCTATCTGATACGTTTAAAATTTTACGAAAATATAATATGAAGTTGAATCCAGAAAAATGTGCATTTGGTGTGGCATCAGGAAAACTTTTAGGTTTTCTTGTTTCTAGCCGTGGTATTGAAGTGAATCCTGCACTGATTAAGGCCATTGAAGAAATTCCTGATATACTATCCAACAAGAAAGAGGTTCAAAGACTAACAGGAAGAATCGCAGCTTTGGGAAGGTTCATTTCTAAATTATCGAAAAAATGTTTTAAATTCTTCTCGGCTCTTAAGAAGCAGGATCATTTTGAATGGGATGAGGAGTGTCAACAAGCACTTAGGGATTTGAAAATATACTTGTCAAATCCACCTTTGCTAGCAAAACCCAAGGCTGGG